AGGAACAGGAAGGACATTGTCTAAGCTCTGTTATGGGATAGGATAGGAATGGTAGCTTGCAAACATCTGAAATGGTGCTCCATTGCCTAGATTTAAAATGTGCTTTGGTGACTGCTGGATAGCTCAGTGGTTTCGGCTGCTGGCTGAAGATCCAGAGGCTTGGAGTTCGATTCCCCTAATGTGCCTCTTTGAGAGGCACTGGACTTGATGATCCAGGGGCTCCCTTCCAGTTCTGCCATTCTAAGATGATGATGATGATTGATTCATATGTCTTTCTGTATGTATCTGGATACCTCTGTATTTACCCACTGTGTGTACATAAATTGTGTGTATACACAAACCTACGTACAGTGGTGCCCCGCATAGCAACGATAATCCGTGCAGCAAAAATCGCTGCAAAGCGATTTTGTCGCTATGCGGTTTAAAAAAGCCCATAGGAATGCATCAAAACCCCTTCAATGCATTCCTGTGGGCTTAAAACTCACCTTTAAGCGAAAATCCTCCATACGGCGGCCATTTTCACTGCCCGGTAAGCAAGGAATCTGGGCAAAAACACAGCAGGCGGCCTTTTTTTTTACACGGCGGCCATTTTGGAACTGCCAATCAGCTGTTGGAAAATCATCGCTATGCGATGATCGGTATGCGAAACAGGGTACCGATCATCGCAAAGCGATTTTTTCCTATCTAAACCATCGCAATGCGATCCCAAAAGTGATCCCAAAAATTTGTTGCTATGCAGATTCGTCGTTAAACGGGGTGCCCATTAAGCGAGGCACCACTGTATATACACAGCATCTGGATCTGTCTCTGCATAGTTATGTCTTCCTGTGATTGTTATATAAATACAGTACGTATCTATAACATGGGGGACTCTGGGGGAACCGGAGGAGGTGCATGCATCCAACAGATTAGACTTTGCCCTTCACTGATCTAAGGTGCATGCATCTGACAGATTAGACTTTGCCCTTCACTGATCTACTCCACTGATATACAGTCAGGAGGACTCTGTTTGGGCATCAGCGATACAAAGCAAGTGGCGTCAACAGCATCCATCTTGGATGTCCACATGGAAGGGAAAGCCAGTTAACAAAGGGGTCCTTTCCAAAGATCCCGTTGCATGGAAAGTGGGAGACCAGCCATGCATGGCCAATGATGCCCCCGTGAGTGAGAATTTTATGTATGGCATGACTCCCAATAGTGATTGGGGTCTAGAACTGAGAGCTCCCCAGGGTGGTAGCCCTTAGAATAGAAAGCCCACCTCCGTAAAGGCACACTTCTGAATTGATACTTCAGCTGGGCAACCTTGACCTCACAGATGTTCATTTACTGCAGATGTTTTCCTTTGCCAGTAGCTATGGAAGTGATGGGCTACTAGGAATTGTAGATCAAAAGTCTCTGGATGCCCGCAGTTGCCCAGCCCTGATTATACCTAGCCATATTGTCCTTCCAGATACCCAGTGTGGTGTAGTGGATACAGTGAAAGATTAGGACTCAGAGGCCTGGGTTTGAATCCCCACTCAGCCATGGAAGCTCATTGGGGGTCTGGAGCTGGTGTACCATTCCTTGAATATCTCGTTTACCTTGAAAACTTTATCAAGGTTGCTACTATAAGTGGGTTCCAACTTGGGGGCACAAAACCACAACATTGCGGCTTTTTCCCTGCAGAATCCGGTGGAGAGCCCGGAAGCAAAACCCATCATGTTTGACCTACGCAAACACCTGGAGGCATCGGGACACAGTGTGGATACCTGCCCGCACGTACGGGTGACCAGCAAGTCCTGCAAAGGCTATCTGGTCAAGATGGGTGGAAGGATCAAGACCTGGAAGAAGCGCTGGTTCACCTTTGATCGTCTGAAACGGGTCTTGGCCTACTACGCAGGTGAGAAAGGGAGAGAGACCTCAGACTGAGCCTCTCCCCTGTAAAGGGCTTCCCACTTTCCACCGTCAGAAACTTAACAAACGTCTTCACCAAGGAAAAAAAGCACCTTGCTGTGTACTGCACACCAAAATTCCCAAACGCCCCTTAAATGGGAGTATTGAGAGATCAGCCATGTGTTTATTTTCCTTGCATATTTATTTTACAGTATTTGCATACAGTGGTGCCTCACTAGACAGTTACCCCGCATGACAGTTTTTTCGCTAGACATTGACTTTTTGCGATCGCTATAGTGATTCACAAAAAAGTGATTCCTATGGGGGAATTTCGCTGGACAATGTTTGGTCCCTGCTTTGCAAACCGATTTTCGCTAGACGACGATTTTGACAGCTCCCTCCAGGCTCGCAAAACAGGTGTTTTCAGGACCTAAGCTTCGCAAGACAGCTATTTAAACAGCTGATCGGCAGTTCGCAAAGCAGCTTTCCTATGGCCGATCTTCGCTAGACAACGCTGATTCTTCCCCATTGGAACACATTAAACAGGTTTCAATGCATTCCAACAGGGAAATGCTTTTCGCTAGACAATGATTTCGCTAAACAGCAATTTCAGCGGAACGGATTATCATCGTCTAGCGAGGCACCACTGTATTTTGCACCACTGTATTTGCATATTTGCATCGGAGAGGGTGAGTTGAAAGAGATGCACGACTTTAAGAAAGAGGGTGGGGGATGTTGACTTTGGATTGCGGTGAGCTGAGGCTTCTCTTTAAAGATTTGCTACCCTGGACCGGGAGGGGCCACTCACAGCCTTCCAAGTGTTGAGGGACTACAACTCCCATCACCCTGACCACCACAGGCAACGATGAGGGCTAATGCAGTCCATCAGCATATGGAGGCCCTCTAGTTGCTTACGGGTGATAACTGTTGTTTCCAAAGCATTTGCTTCTTGGGATCTCCCTAAGAGCAGATGTTCAGCATGCTTAAATGCTCCCTGGCATTTCCAGTTACAGCAGCTGGGAAAAGAGGGATCTAGAACCCCACCCTCGTGGATGAAAGCAAGACACTGCAAAGTTCTTTTTGTTGCCTGAAGTGCAGGAAGGAGATGATTTCCTTCTGCTCTTGAAGAGAGCTCTTACATTGAGGGTAACAATTTTCGCATCTCGTGTGCCATTGTGCAAAAACCACAATAGCTGGCTCCTTGGTGGTATGGATTTATAGGGTCAGGAGCCTCTGAACTGTGTGTCTGTGGCTTTACGATCAAATCCATCAGGCACCCCTTCATTTCTGTGAACATTTTCCTTCTCACATGGAAAGACCAGGAAGTTGGTGCAAAGGCACGAGGTAAAATCGAGGAGACCCTGGTGTCAGAAGTCCTGCAGGGCTCAAGAGTTCTTTATCAAGGCGTCTCATCATGTCAAGACAGCTGGAACCAAGGAGAATGAAGAATTTATCCAGGAGGTTTTCAGATCCCTAGGGAGAAAGACCACTGCATGAGACCCTGGCAATCTGCTGCCAGCTGGATCAGTTTGAGACACTGTCTTACATTCTGTATTAGGTTATTAGGTTGGAATTACAGTGGTGCCTCGCTAGACAGCACTGTCTTACATTCTGTATGTTGAAAGTTATTAGGTTGGAATTAATGTGTAAAGGAGTAACAACACTATTGTGGATGGCCCCATAGAGGAGACCAAGCAGGAGATGTGTGTGGCCTTGCACAGGGTGCAGGCCTGTGCAGTAAAGAAGTGTACGGATACCATCTTCTATTTTTCCTCACTCCTTTCAAGGTAAAGCAGGACCTCCCGTATTTGGGGGGATCGGTTCCAAGCTACCCCATGGATACTGAAAAATGCAGATTACAGCAAAGGCTATTTTAATAGTGAATTATATACATAGCATGGCCTCTGCCTCCCACTAGTGGCCAGTTCTAGCAATGTCATCTTTAGAAATACGTATTTCTAGGATTTTTAAACATATATATTTAAAATACAGTATTAAAAGAAAAGTGAATCAGTGGATACTGATCCTGCAGATATGGGGTCCTATTGGGCTTTATTCCTCTGAACCTTTTTTTTTCATTCCAGACAAAGAGGAGACTAAGCTTATAGAGGAGACCAAGCGGCGGATGTGTGTGGCCTTGCACAGGTACAGACTTGTGCAGTAAAGAAGTGTATGGATATCATCTCTTATTCCTCACTCCTTTCAAGCTACAGTAGGACCTCCTGTATTTGGGGGGATCAGTTCCAAGCTACCCCACGGATACTGAAAAATGCAGATTACAGCAAAAGCTATTTTAATAGTGAATTATATACATAGCATGGCCTCTGCCTCCCACTAGTGGCCAGTTCTAGCAATGTCATCTTTAGAAATACGTATTTCTAGGATTTTTAAACATATATATTTAAAATACAGTATTAAAAGAAAAGTGAATCAGTGGATACTGATCCTGCAGATATGGGGTCCTATTGGGCTTTATTCCTCTGAACCTTTTTTTTTCATTCCAGACAAAGAGGAGACTAAGCTTAAAGGTGTGATTTATTTCCAGGCCATAGAAGAGGTTTACTATGACCATCTCCGCAGTGCGTTCAAGGTAGGAAGTCATATAAAATCACTGTTTTACAATCATCTTGAGCAACAGATTGGGGCTAGGAGGCTGTCTGGATTTAGGGACTGTTTATCCCACATGGATAGGGGTCCAGCATCTTCAGCATCTTGTAAAGCCGCCCAGAGTAGACGTGGTCCAAATGAGCGGGATATAAATTTAATAAATAAATAAATAAACAAATTCTAGATGTTGTAAGTAGTGGCAGACAAAACCCATGCTCTGGGCAGGAACAAACGACATACCATCTTTGCAGTTAGAAGTTGAGAGTACCTTATCCCTTCAAAGAGGCGAGGATGATGATCCTTGTGGGTCTCTTCCAACAGTTCAAATCTATGCTTCTATGGTTGTATCATTATTTATCTTGTTTTTCCTTCTTCCTTCCTCCTTGTCAGAGCCCCAGTCCTAAGATGACGTTTTGTGTCAAGACCTACGACCGTCTTTTCTGCATGGTGGCGCCCAGCCCAGAGGCAATGCGCATCTGGATGGACGCTATTGTCACAGCAGCAGAGGAAAACGCTCGCTACTGAGAAGCATATGTTGCGATGGGCAACACAACTGTCAACTCTAGACTGTGGCCCTAGTGTGTCTCCCCAAAGGAGCACGTGTGGGTCACTTCTCACTCCTCCCCTGGGGTGGAGCCTGCCAGTAAGATAGCCAATGAGGAAGGCGACATTTATTTATGTTCGGTCAGAAGGTTGTGTGTCTCATTCCAAATTTAGAGAAGCAGGCTGGGATTTAAGGCGTAAAGAGGACTGATCCGTACATCCAGAGCTGCTCGCTGGGGGACTGCTCCTTGATCTCCTCCAGTTGGAAAACCTGGGAGGATGTCTTGGCTGATGGGAGATTCTTGGCGTGAATTCAGGCCACTTGTGAAGAATATGACTTCAGTCCGAAGGAATTTAAAACCAGCTTCTCTGGAATCTTCGTTTCTTGGACAGTACTGCGTGCACCAAAGAAAGGCAGATGTTTGGGGATGACTTTGTATGAATCTTAAGGATAAGTTTTTAGTTAATGGCCATTGAGCACAGGATCCCTACCTGTAGGTTGTGAACCCCAAAGGGATCGCAGAGTGTTTTCGGGGGGTGGGGGTGTCTTAGTGGTCCTGACCGTAAAAAAAGAACAACATGGCAGGGCGCAAGGCTCAGGCGAAACCAAACTGTGCTACTCTGGAGGAGAGGGCATAGGGCTCGAGCCTTAAAAGCCAGCTTAAGGAAGAACAGTCAGTGTTCCTCAAAAATGGACCGTCTGCCCCACTGACTTTTCCGCCTTCTCATTCAACTCTTCCTTTCGCGTTTCCTTAAATACTACCCAAGCCGATTCAGTCTGATACTTTGGGCTGTCATTAGAGAGGATCTGTTGGGGCCACCAGTTGTAGTTATTGTCTGGGTAGCATAAGGTGGTTCACTCTGGAGGGTGGGTCGTAGAACTACCCGCTACTGGAAAAGTCAGACCTGCAGCGATGGTCCTGAATGATAGACGTGCCAAATCTACCAACAAAAAAACAATGGGTGGGGAGGTGGAGGGGTTGCGGGGGGGGGTGTTCCTCAGTGTTACTTGGCTGTTATAAAAGGAGGTCATGGCTGGGAAAAGGTGGGAAACACTGCCATAGAGTCTTGCCAGCTGAAAGAATTTGTGACTTGAACAAGCCCAGCTAGATAACACTTGGTCATAGACCTGATTTCCAACTTGCCCATTGGCCGTAGTGCCTTGACATTCATTTTTTTTCTAGATTATGAAATTCATTCTTAACATGGAACGACCAAGCTCCAGGAACCAGCATAGCAAGATACATTAGTCATTCACAGCTCTGTTGCTAATGCCTGTTGGGGTTAAATCCATTAGTGTAAATCTCAGCAAGAAATGACCACAAGTTAAGAAGTTGGCAGAAGCGCATGAGTCCTGTGATTCAACATGAAAAATTTTAAAAACACGATTTTATGATTTTTTTTCCAAAGCGAAATGTGGTTTTTATCTGTTTTTATTATTTTAGGAAGTTTACAAGCTGTCTTGAATGTTATCGGGGATGAGGACGTGAGTAGAGGGACTCGCTGTTAAGTTGAATTTCAGTTGCACTAAAACTCAACTTGTCCCCCCCAAATGATGCAGACGCAACTCGTGAATCGGAACCCACCCACTCCTCCTTTTTTTCTGGGGAAAAACCCCCTTGTTTTTCATACAGACTTGAACTTGGAGATTGGGACTCCGGCCTTGGGACTCGAAACCTTGCTGACAGATGTGAATGCTATTGAATGCTATCGTTGGTTCCCAACCTTGGGTCCCCGGATGGTTTTAGACCACGACTCCCAGAAATCCTGGCCAGCAGAGCTAGCAGTGAAGGCTTCTGGGAGTTGTAGTCCAAGAACATCTGGAGACCCAAGGTTAGGAGCCACTGTTTAGTAGATAAATGGGTTATAAATGTAATAAATAAATGGTAGTAACTGCCTATGCTGACTTCTTAATTTGTGACACTCTGCTGCTGAAATTTATACTGATGGACAGGCTGGTGTAATTGTTCATTGGATTCCACTATAGGGTAAAGGAAAAGGTTCCCCTTGATGTTTAGTCCAGTCGTGTCTGACTCTAGGGCGCGGTGCTCATCCCCATCTTCAAGCCGTAGAGCCAGCGTTTTGTCCATAGACAGTTTCCGTGGTCACGTGGCCAGCGCGACTAGACATGGAAAACCGTGACCTTCCCACCATGGTGGTACCGATTTATCTACTCACATTTTTACATGCTTTCGAACTGCT